GGGGTTTGTATGAACTGACGGGAAGGGTGTTTCTACGGTATATACATTGCTAAAGTAGTTTGAGAATACTTGAGCTTTATCATAGTCGTCCTCTACAAATGATGCAGTGCTACTGTCTTTTCATAATGCTGGGATATTTCCTCTTCTCTTAGTCCTTTGGTTTATGTACGAATATAAGTTTTTAGGGCATTCTATAGATTCATTAACAAGTTTTTCGTCGCACAACCTTTTAGACTTACGGAGGGTCGTGGCACAAGTATTCCGAGCTTCTCGATGTTGAGATTTTGTCTCGTCAGTTCCCACTAACCTAAATCTCCCACATTCTTCTCTTACGGAGAAGGATGCGAACCTCTTTATTGAACCACGGTAGGGAGTTTATCGGACCCCTTGGTGTAGTCCAAGGGATGTGTGGTGCAGTGACTTTTAAGTACAAATTTCTGAATATATCCCAAGTCATTTCGACTGGGGACTCTGGCTCTACTGACCAACCTACTGCGGATGTCGTGTGTATGCCTTGTATATTCACTTGTATATTTCACTGGATTATACTCCTTGAATAACATCTTCAAACCCTAATTTTTCTGATTACTACATCTAACACTACGGGATTTGAATCGACCACTGCATCTCTGTGCCAATGTGGTGTGGCAGCTCGAACTGATGTACGTACGTACGAAGTTCTACGTTGTTACTGACTGACTGACTGATATTCGCTTCCCAGACGTTAGGTCTGGGTTGGGTTGATACACGCTTATTTATGACAGCTATACGGAAACCAGAGATTATAAATACATGATTACTTTTACCTAAGGGTGGCATATAGTTGAGGTTTGTGACATTCTCATAATGGGTTAATATGAGATCTAGTAAGGATGATTCTGAGTCCGGGTTGTACCTAGTTGCTTCTATCACATGTTGCTGGATTTTACTCGGAATTCATCTTTCCTTATGATTTGATAGCATTTTGGCATTGTGGCTGGTGTCAGTTTGCGATAAAAACTCGCAATTTAATTCCTAACTAACCATCGTAATTCCTTACACTAATTCATAACCCCATTTTGACTTTAGCATGTGGTTGAAGTTCTTCAAGCTTTTTCTGGCATTGCTCTAAGGTCTTCCATAAATCATGGTCTCATCTTCAAAGTTTCTCACATGCTTCGTTAAAATTGCCTGAATTTCTTCGTTTTCCTAGCGAGTCATGATACAGTTCATAGCACTATGATACAGTCAATTTTTTCACTTTGTAAAGCTTGATGTACTTGTAAATCTGCCATTTTTCACCTTATGACAAATATTGTTCGCTACCAAACATATTCAGTATCAGTGCTGTAGGTGCTTTTACATAGTTTACTTCATTCTAACACTAATCGCCTGTTGCCAAATTTAAGATGGATTACACATGTTCATCAAAGGTAGATAGTACCAACCGTTAATTATAGCCCCTAAGGTTTTAATTCTTTTTTCTCTTTCTCAACTCATCCCTTTTTGGGTTTAATAATGTTGCGATTTGATTGAGGTGCTTTTTATTTTGTCTTATAAAATCGGTAACTTCATCAATGAATGATACCGAATGACTGTAGATAATATGCTTGTTTGGGCCATAAACGTGAACTTGATATATATAATGAAACAATATTTGTCTACTTTTATAACTAAGTTGGATTACCAGATATTTTTTCACTCACAAAGCCAATACGGTGAGATAATTTTCCATAACTGACAAAAATTGAAGGACGACCCTATGGACATTAAGATAGGGTATTAATAAGAAGTGCGATGTTATGAAGTGCCACAAGATGAAGCGCACAGAATACTAAGTATGCGTTACATTTAACCTCAAGTAAGGAGATCATTTCTTACTGCCTCAAATGTACCGCTCATAAACTTCCATAATTGTCTGAATGAGTTTCAGCATATTGTCCACTAGATAGTTTACCTGGGTAACTCGTCGAAATGTAGACGGATAGTTTGACAGAAGTTGGGGTTGAGCGTATGTGTATAGATTATATTTAGGTTAACCTTAGGGGCTGAAATTCAAACAGTTTTAACGGCTTGCTTGGCGAACTGATCTTGTTTTTCAGATAAATAATTAAAATCATTACCAAAAATACATAAGATTTGAAAAACAAAATCACACTAAATGCTTGTCCAACCAAGTCCAGTTGTTTATCCTGTACACAGCAACATCGTGAAGAATTTGATGTGGAAATGGTTCATAATGCAGGAAGTAAATATGTACGTGTATATGTCTGCTATTGTTATTAAAAACTTTTGAGAAATAATGTCTTTGGCTACGATCAAGGATATTTTTGTCGCTTTCGTTTATTGTAAAATTAACAGTACGTATGAGTAAAATAATCCGACCGAAGTACGTTGAGACTTGAGATATTCGTATAACTGATTCCTATGTTAAATTAAAGCCAGTTAGTCACAACATAGAACCTGGTACATATGTACTTTTGTTCAAGTTGTTGTACTCCATTAGTGTGCCAAGATGAAATTGTCAGGTCGAATCTCAAAACTGTAGAGGTTATGACAGCGTCAGTGGTGATTGGAAAGACGGCGTCGAATATCTGATTCAAAAAATATAAGTTGGTGAAATAAAAACAAAAGTTGTGAAGAATTCAGAAGCTCAGAATCCGCGGAAGATAAAGAATGGATGCACCTGCGCCATTGCAGGTAATTTTGAACATTGTCATTCAAAGTTTCTGATCATTGGTTACGATAATCACGCGGACGCCAACCAGGTAGTCTACATCTATTGACATGGCTAAGTTCAAGTGTCAATAACTCCACGGACTAGTGCCATATTTTGGTGTGGCCGCACCTTTCTTTCAACTTTCTACACCAAACAACATTCACCGAGGTAGAGATGATTGGACACACATGAAACATTTCCTAACCACCTCAAATGATGAATATTTATTACATCATTAATCGGTTTAGCATCATTACCTACTGTTCTATTCCTAACTCAAGCATTGCTTACTCGGTGGTTTCATAATACACAAGCAATGATTCGAAGACTCCTATGATCGAATACTAGTAACCTACGAATATCCTCTATTCTTAATGACCATGTTTCACACAAAATAGAAGGGTTTACATGAATCCACCGTTCAGGTTGCTTGGAGGTAGTGAATAACTGAAGTGTGTCTAATGGCCAGTTGAACTGTTTCCTGAAGTGTTCTTCTCATCGGTTTAATATCCTGATTTGAGTGAATAATTGTCCCGTTTTTTTCCGAGGTAACAACCTGGTTTTTAGCACTCATTACCTTGATAAGTCTAGACAGTTGTCTACTGTTACTTATCGCCACTGTCCTTCCCATCTCCTGCTTTCACCACCCATCACTACTCGCGATCATTGTGTAGCCTTTTTATCAGCCAACGTTTAAGCTGCTTCCGCTCCTCATTGTGTTCATAGCAATACGCGATCAGTTTTCGAACATCTATCAGTTCAGAAGATGCCTTTGAAGTCCACTGATTTTTCTTAATCTTTCGATTTGAGTTACTAGTAGATATCACTACTATTTCCTCAGTCTTTTTGGGTATTATGCTAAATTATCTCGGGGGTGAATACCACTTCCACGGTTGGCTCACTCTTCCAATTGTTCTTGAAATATATTCTTAACTTTCTTATCATTAACTAGAACTCTAAGGGGTTTCTATATCCAGTAAGATTTAGACGTAAACATTGGTACAAAGAGCCTCAAATACATATGCGTTACACAAATCATTTGGTTTGTGTAAGGGTTGGAATATCGCCCAGGCGCTCAAACCGAAATAGGTGGTTTTCTTAAGAGGCCACACCCCAAGCCTTTGACCTAGAAGTCTAATCCACGAGACAGTGGAACAACGTTAAAAGATACAGTGCCATGGTAGCTAGTGACAGACAATAGGTTCATATGCTATTCGTTCCCCCGGGATCCAGGGTCCCATGTGTACCATTGGTTTGGAATCAGGGTTTTTCAACTCCCTAGGTAGGTCTTCCATATCCAGCAAGATGGTTAAAGAACTGGACGTTCTCTTTTCGTCTTCTCAATTCTGTCGAGACACCCTCTCCTCGAGAAGGTAGTGAGTATAACTCCCCTGACAGTGGTTATATACTCGTGACGATGTGAGAGGATTTAGAGAAGAAGAACTGATTCTCCTCAACTTCGGCTATACCAGAACTTAAACAGATCCAAACCTAGTGACTAAGTGACATCCATTTATATCGGGATCAAGCCACGGGTGATATAGACGGTGCGAAATGATAATGACACACCTCATTTTCTCTTCGTTATCTCTGCCTACGCTCCCATTGATTGCAGCTCGGATGAGGTTGAAGATGAATTTTACAGGAAGTTCTAGAGTAAAATTTGCCATTTTTAAAGAACAGGAATAAACTCCACTGCGTTTTGCCATCATCCTGATCAAATAGCATTATTTCATTTGTGCTTTGCAAGTTGATCAGTTATTCTCTAGGTGAGAAGTTAATTCGTGAAAAGTCAGGCATAAAGAAGTCCACTTTTACAATGGTATTTTACCAAACGTAAATCCATTCCTTGAGGACGTACAATACAAATCGAAAAATCTAAGCAAAATAAAAATCTAGTTCTATAAAATACTACATCAATCTCTAGACTGTAATACTGTATTTTACTTAGGTATGAACCGCACAGAATTAATTTTATTATTGCCCCCAAATCCCTTGATACAACCGAGGTTGGGGAGAGTATGCTTTCCCTCTCAAGATGCTCTCACATGAACACGCGTATACAGCCAGGGAAGTCCTGCTTTAGTTTGGGCGCCTGGGCATTGTTCCAGCCCTTACACAAATGAATGACGAAGTCTGGTGCATATATTTGGTGCCTTCCTGTACCATTGTTTGTGTTTAAATAAATAAATAATTGTTATTATTTGTCACTCCTATAATACACTTTTTTATCTTCCATTTTTCAGTTACAAACTGTACAGTGTATAAAAACCGTCGAGACACGTGACATATATTCAGGAGTATGGGCAAAGACAAGCGTGTTGTATATTTTTACGATCCAGATTGTGGAAATTTTCATTATGGTTAGTATTTAATGTCAAAAGATTGGATTATTTCATGATGTAAATAGGACCGAATCATCCTATGAAACCACATAGACTTACACTGACTCATACTCTTGTGGTAAACTATAATCTGACAGATCGCATGAAGGTAGGAGAAATTTCTTCGTTGTATTTTTAAATTCTTTGTAATTTTGTTTTCATCACTAAGGTCTACAAACCGTATCATGCCAGTATGAAGGATATGATATCATTTCATTCACAAGAATATATCGAATTCCTGCGTGATGTCACACCATCTAATGTGCATACATTTCCTAAAGAAAAATTATTAACCTATAATATTGGTGAGGATTGGTAGGTTTTTGTTTTATACTGACTTATATTTTAATAATTTCAATCTCATTAATTCTTTTTTCTGCAGCCCAATTTTCGACGGTATATATCGCTTTTCCTCTATTCACACTGGTGCATCACTTCAAGCTGCTAAATACTTAAATAATGGAGTATGCATAAAAATTTATCAAAAAAGTCATCTATTATAATTTATTCAATTTAGGTAACAGATATTGCAATCAATTGGTCTGGGGGACTTCATCATGCTAAGAAATTTGAAGTAATTTCCTGGTAACTTATATCACTTTTGTCTTTTTAGGCGTCTGGATTTTGTTATGTAAATGATATTGTTATAGCCATATTAGAATTATTGAAATACAATCCACGTGTACTTTATATCGATATTGATGTTCATCATGGTGATGGCGTACAAGAAGCATTTTATCTCACGGATCGTGTAATGACAGTATCGTTTCATCGTTATGGAAACATGTTTTTCCCTGGAACAGGTAGTTCAAGTAGTTTTCTTGTATCCACACTATCATTTATCTAAAATAACAAGGTAATTTCAACATGGAATATACATCATTTCAATTTCTCTAATTACAGTTTTATACAACATTGTTGAACCATTCAACTTTACTAAACTTGCAATTACCCTTTATCCTAATACAACGTATTAAATAGTTTCTGACCAACATTTATCAGTTCATGTTTCGATTCAGTCATCTCTTTAGCTGACCAATCAAATATTTAAGCCTTCGAATAGTTCTTGAATTCATACCAATTACACATTCTCCCTAATGAATTCATAAGTTATTAAGTATACGATAGCAATAATTTTATTTGTAAGTCGGTTAAAAAATATTTTGGTGATATATCCAACCCTTTGAACGATACTCATAGGAATACATACTTTTTTCTTTCTTATGTTATAATCCAAAAATGCACTCCATGAATGTATTTTCATATATAACTGAGTTAAGAGGAGAACAACTAGAAGTTTTGTAATGTATTAATCAAGTTACATTTGTCCTGTAGGATAAAGCATCATGTTTAGTATAGCCCTTCTGTGTGATTTTATAGACTCCGACGTATACAAATTTATACAGGTTTTAAAGGCAATTAGTTTAATGCATACCAATATGGTGAGTCGCTTTTCCTCTCATACAAGGTGTACTATAACTTTACAAAATATTCTACAGATCATAAATTGTCATTAATAATCTAAAGTAACTCGTTTTAGAAACAGCCATATATGTCGATATTATCTAACATTCATAAAACTTGAATTTCTTAGTTTAACACTAAAAAAATCAAATAATTTGTCTATCGAATTGTTGCTGTGTAATGATTTTTTGTTGAATGAAAATACATTAATCCTTAAACTTTATACAAAATTATGTCTATTATTATGTGTAATATCTTTCCTTGTACATGGGGCTAGTAGTAGGCAGTAACAAATAGTTGTGAGAGGAACACTGCAAGTAACAGTCTACATTCATAGCTCGTCAATATGAATTTCCCCATTGATTTATTGAATTCATCGGTGTATTCCTTGAAATATGACAGTACAACTACAGATCACTCTCTTTATTCTGCTGTTTTACTGTAGTCAAGCTTTGATGCAAATTACTTTCACATTCAGATTTTTATTTCTTAAACCTTATTGTTTATTTGTAACAGCTTGAAATGTTGCAACAAGTTAGTGTTTTATTGAAGTGTCGGTAATCGAAAATTCTGCGTAGATGTAGGATTTATTGTAATATTGGAGATGAATAATCGTTTAGTTTGTTTTTTACATTGAATATTTCGAGCATATAGGTGTTAATTGATTAACAATGTTTGAATGAAGATGTCGGGGATTTTTCTATGAACAACTGAATGTTTTGTCAGTTTGGTCGACTAGTGAAGTAATTCAGTCCTACTTATGCTTGTTTCCACTTGTTTACGTCCCGACCTGGACATTTTGGTAATCCATTGCTACTAAACACAAAATTTCGTTAAGCTGAATCTACTTCCGTCCATAAGCATTTGGAACCAATGATTCGACACAAAAGTGCATTAATCTTTAATGAACTACCACATATCGCTGTAACAAACGGTTTGATCGATCTTATTCAGTTTCGTTAATGATCTAAAGGTATTCAATTACACCAGAACATTAGTATAAAAATACCGTTGAAAGACGGCTCAGTGATCTATTGGTTGAACGTTCTCTCGAGACCGATAGTCCTGAGTTGGATCCTCGCGTGCAGGTTTGTGGATGCACACTATTAAGGGATCCCATTGTAGGGACTGGTACTATATTAAACTGACATATGTTATTCTGGCTTCTAGACAGACCAATCTATTCATTCTCCTCAAGCCACATTTTTACCCTGTCACTTATTTACTTATTAACCTTGACTATTTTTCATATGATCGTGTGTATTAATTAATTACCCTATTCATTACGTGTCTGTAACTTATTTTCGTTTGACTATAAATATCAAGTCACGCTTGATTAAATCTAATTGACTCACTTGCCTTCTCTACTGCGCGTCATTTCTCTTCGCTTTCTTCGTTTCGTTTTTCTGATCGTCTATCCGGATCAACGATTTTATAAAATATACTTATTTGAAATCAATTCTCGTATTTGACTTATTTAATTCCGTTATTCACTAATGCGATTTAAGTCAGTGAAAATATAAAACGGTTGGTGACATGTATATTTCGATAACAATCGATCATAAGATGGAACTGGAGTCAGACAATGGGCCATAAAAGTGGTGAGTCCATCGATAACACCGTCGTCCTATCTAAGTGGAGTCAGATACAGGACCATATCTAAGCCATACTAAGACAAAATGGCCGTCCAGTACTTCCAAGTTTTCAGTGGTGGTCTAACATTGATCAGTTCATGATTTAAATGAAACTCCACAATCTCCATAACCCCTATGTTAACATGAGGATTAATTTATAGATAGGGTTGTATATAAAGATCCCCCTGGTGAGACAATCCTTAATTTTGTTATTTTAAAATTTTTATGATTAACATTTCCAAATGTTTAATAGCTAACAGAAAAGCCTTTATTTCAGTAAAATGTATGTATGTTTATTTATTATAGAGATAAAGTGTTTAATAACAAAATTCAGATAATGAACATTTAAGTAATCGATAACTAGAAGAATTCTTTTTATCTAACTGCTGTTCATTTTTGTGAGAGATATGAATATCAGTTTATTCATATACATAATACATCAGTATCGATGTTTACTAGACAACTACAAAAGTTAATACTGAAAGAAAGAATAAGTGAATCTGTTTCAAAATTTTGGACAATCATCTAGATATAAATTTATATAAGTGTAATTGTTCAGCATGAACAATTAAATTAGTTGTGATTTATCAAATAGCTTTCAGGACCGATACATGTATATGCGCCTGGTCCTAAGTTGTAACTGACTGACTTCAGGAATTAATAATCACTGATTTAAATTAATTTTCAGTTTTTCCAATTTAAATATATAAAAAGAAATTATTTTTCTTTTCCAATCACTACTCAGAAACTAAGTGAACATTTATTAGTGTTTATTCTAGGACACTACATTCAAACAGGTGATCAGAACATGTTCTAACCTTAGACAATAAATACATTGATCAAGTTATTACATTCTTGTTACATTTGATTTATATCTGCTGTTTCATTGATTAGTCTATGAACAAAAAAAGTCATGTAATAAAAATTTAATTTATAAAAAGATCCTCAATGCAACCAACCATAATAGATAATACTTATAATGATTATATGCTGTTATCTTTCAGTTATCATTCAGTTCAAAATGATCCACTAGTTCTGTACACAAAATAGAAAACCAGATGTTTATTGTTGTCTTCTGTATGGAGTGCAAATGAACCTCTCTTTGTTCTACTGAAATATACACAACGAACAAGAATGAGAAATGCAATAAAAATGAACAATTAAGGGGTGACGATTGTATTTCAAAAAATTATAACTTTCAACGCTTAGCAATATTAGGTGAATGTACAAAGACCACTAATGTTGAACTGACTTAAAGGGATAAATGCTAGAGGACAATGTTACTAGTCATTTTTTCTTGTTAGACCCATAACTAACAACCTTTGTAGCTCACTTCATATATTTGCTAGACAGGTCATGTATTTGATCATGAGTTTCAACACTCTTCAGATAAGTTTCATGTTAAAACAGGTGATTCATCCTGTATCAAGCTTAAACCAAGTTACAAATCTATGATCTTGAAATTCTAAAATGCGTTTCACGTCAATTGTGGGTGTTATCACCATACTTTGGCAGCAAAAAAGAACGTCCAATGCTCTTTAACCATATAAAAACAATTCAATTTACTTGCTTTCTGTACTTTTTTTGATAGGTGATATGTACGAAATTGGAGCCAAAGCTGGGAAATACTACGCAGTGAATGTTCCTTTAAAAGAAGGCATTGATGATGACAGTAGGTGCAATTATTTTTTTCTCTTTGTATATGTATGTTGGCTGTCTCCCTCGTTATAAAATTCTGATTAGTGATTTTGTATGATTACCTAACTTGTTAGTAAGATGTTTGTTTGCTCACGCTCGGTGAACACTAATTTAAACATGTATTTGTAGAATTTTCCTTTAAGCTAATGTATCCTTGGGATTTTCCATAGTGAATGAGTATAAGTTTAGTTAACTAGAAATATAGTAATATGGGAAACGTAATCTTCATCAGTAAATAACTAAGTAGTTATGCACACTTTTTATAGCGGTGACAATCGATTTTCTATGAAACATTTAGTATTAAAATGAATGTAGTTTTTAATATAATTTATTTATATGACATAATTTTGCCGAGTCTGTATCTTCGTTAATTGTAAGAAGCGAGGGCTTTGTGATTAAAACACTCGGGTTTCAACCGGTTAGCTCTTAGGTTCGAACTTTCTATCACTAAATTCGGTTAGTGATAGAAAGGTAATATCACCATCAACCCTTGAACAAAACAGCAAATGAATTGCCATGTTTAAACAATCGCTTCGATCAGGGGATACAATTCATTAGCTAAAGCAAGTATTATAACATCGTGTTAACTGGAAATGACTAACAGAAAATGGTTTATTTCTGTTTGTTTATGTTAAGTTGACTACTATTACTAGTACTTGTGTAAAGATGTTGAAAATATTGTGTTACTTGTCGAAAATTACTCCGGTTTATTCAAAACGATTTATTTTTAAGATCATGAACCGATCAATATCAGACCACCATTAAAAACCTGGAAGCACTGGACGACCGTATCGTCCTAGTAGGAGACTCCTGTTGAGATACTCCCTGTGTCCCAAAACCGAAGCAGGTGGTTTTCTTAAGAGGCCACACCCCAAGCCTTTGACCTAGAAGTCTAATCCACGAGACAGTGGAACAACGTTAAAAGATACAGTGCCATGGTAGCTAGTGACAGACAATAGGTTCATATGCTATTCGTTCCCCCGGGATCCAGGGTCCCATGTGTACCATTGGTTTGGAATCAGGGTTTTTCAACTCCCTAGGTAGGTCTTCCATATCCAGCAAGATGGTTAAAGAACTGGACGTTCTCTTTTCGTCTTCTCAATTCTGTCGAGACACCCTCTCCTCGAGAAGGTAGTGAGTATAACTCCCCTGACAGTGGTTATATACTCGTGACGATGTGAGAGGATTTAGAGAAGAAGAACTGAGTCTCCTTAACCTCGGCCATGCCGGGGCATTTGATGGTGTACCATCAATCAGTTGACGATTTCACTAACAACTCAGCAATCTCCTCAACACTATACCGGTGATTTATTTTTTGTCAAATTTCAGTGTATTTCAGTGTTTTCCGAGCTGTTATAAATGACGTAGTTGCATTTTATCGACCAACAACTATTGTACTTCAATGTGGCGCTGATTCGTTAGGCTGTGATCGGTTAGGTGTATTCAATCTGTCTATTAGAGGTCACGGGTAAGTTTTGATTTTTTCCGATTCGGTTTGGATAAACTAGTCATTTTGATGTTTATAATACCATTTTTGTTTATTGGCTTTAGTGGCCGTGATTTCCGAAGAATTTGTGTTTCATCCCTCAGCCAACCGTGTATGCGATTAGATGAAAACATGGTATCAATGGAGAGATTATTTGATAAGTTTTGTTTTTAACTATGCTGAGTGGTTTGTGACGTGAAAACCGAACGTAGCCAAAAATCGATATCATTGGTGCAGTATTCAATAATTCTTGTACATAATATCTCTCCATCGTTTTTTTAGATTCAACGTATAATGATAAAAAAAGCAATCTTTTCTTTGAAGCTAATGTTGGTTTTACTCATACGTTCTGTTCCAATATTATGTATGAAACACATTAGCTGAGAATGTGCTTGGATCCACGGAGTATTGGTGTTCTCTGTTAGTTATGAAACCAACTTAAGCTCATGAACAGACTTTGTTCATTTCAATTTCATTAAATAATAAGTCAGCAACAATGAAGTAACCGACAAAACTATTCTCAATCGGATCATTAAAACTATTAAATATGATTTTACTCAAGTAGTATGTCCTTAATCGAATAGATCACACATTTTGGATTTCACTACTAGATGCTACTAAATATAACCAGTGTGCATATGGGCGATATCGAGACATACGTAAGTAGAGTCCATCATAATCTCGGTAGTGATCGAAGACGAATGTATGAAGCGTTTATGTTGTCACACATATCAGGATAACTGCAGAGAATTCCATTGGTTATTATCTGCCTGCCAGATATAGGAACTCTAACCGATGTACATATGTGGTATGTTGCTTATGAATGCTTGACCACTAGTAACTTTTTCCAACCGACCACCAAGATGGAGTTCAGCCAACGAATCCAGACAGTTCAATGGAGTCTTAACGTAATAAACATTGGGGTTGGGAAATATAGCTTCAAGTATATCATGTATTTGCTGTTAAGTGAACGAATTCCACCTAGTCTACTTATTATATGCTGCGATATTTTCCGAAATGAAACAATAATAATAAGCTAGTTATATTGCTCGAATAGTTCAATGTTACTATACATTGATCCAGTGGAAAATTTGTTAGGTGAATTTGTGCGCGTTAATCCGTTATTCGAAGATCAGTTACTTGAACTATGAAGCTGTACTTTCACAGTATTAAAGAAAATAATTAACCTACACGGCGTTATTATTCCATTACGTTCTGTATGATCATTCCGAATGTGCCTGCTTCTCACCTTTGTTCCTCAGGAGATGTGTTCGAATGGTTAAAGAACTTGGTCTGCCATTATTGGTTGTTGGCGGTGGTGGTTATACTGTACGGAATGTAGCACGCTGTTGGGCATATGAAACAGCCGTCCTACTCGATCAAGAGAAAGAAATTTCCAATGAATTACCTTATTCCCCGTACATTGAATTCTTTTATCCTGATTATACATTACATCCAGACTTGACAACTAAGTTGGATAATGCGAACACACGGCAAGTAAGTTAATTCTGATTTGTAATTGATATCGTGGGCTGACTTTAAAATAATACCTCTTAAATTAAAGAAGCATTAGAAAACCATTAAAACCCAAAAAAGTACTGTAAAGTCATTTTGTACTAGCTCGGGACTCCTCAGAACTACACACTTACAGTCTCGACAGGGATCAGACCAAGAACCTTTAGGTTCAAATCAGAGCTGGGATCCAGTGATTTACATATTTAACTTTAGTCTATCCAAAGTATTACACGACCATGCACAGACACCAGCAATGTCCGTTTCATGTCTGATATGAAGGTTAGACGCTTGTTGCAAGGCCCAAAGGTTATGAGTACGATTCCTGTTGGGGTCATAAATATGCACTACTTAAGAGTCCCACATTAGGACGGGGAAGTCCTCCAGTACTTTCTGGTTCACACTAAGATGAAACAGTTGTCCAATAAGTTATCCTTAGTTCTTAATGATGTCGTAACTGATGTTAATCTGTAATGAATACCAGTTACAAATCAAACTAATCAGACCGACCTCGTAGCAATTGTTATACATTCTGAAGTAATTAAGATCTATCCCTATAAATGAGATTTTGAATTGAGGTTCAATTTACAGATACATATTACATTAATTTTGATAGAATATATTCTACATACTAAAGTGAAATCAATCAACTAATGTTTTCGTCAGGATAACTTTTCTTAAGACTCCAATACATAGTGGACAAATATCCCTATTAGCTTTCCGTGGATCCTCTTTATAATACACATATTTACTAGTCAGCAACTTCAATATATTAACAAAATTTACTTCCATAAAGTCATATTATGAGTATTTCAAATCGATTTTAACATAGTGTTGGACATGACTCATCATCATTGTTTTAGTCTTCAGTTTTATAAAGTTTACATCAAATTATTATTAATGAATTCCTTCGTTGTAGTATATTGAAGCGCTACGAATGACAGTTCATGATAATTTAAAACAACTTGTACATGCTCCAAGTGTTCAATTTACTGATGTACCGAATGATTATCTAGCGAACTTTTGTAATGATTCGAATGATGAACGGTAAGAATTTACATCCTTATCTATTTACAAATATGTATAGCTTGTCCAATAAATGTACGAACTGGACTACTTAGGTAGTAAGCACAATAATTATAGGTCCCTAAGTCAGAATTCAACGGTGCATGTTTCCAACTCCATTCAAAATCTTAAATGTTAAAAAAAATTCAATTCTCTATTTTTTTCACTTGTAAGTAAACTGATGATACGTAATAAAACGCTCAATAATTATTTGGGTGAATAAATAAATGACAAGTGATGAATTCCATACAAATATTGGATGGATTTCGTTGAAGCGCGGTTTATTAACCGAGCTTATCAACTCTACTAAGTGATAGAATACCGCCTGAATATATAAGTTGAATTGACCCTAAACAACATACAAGACCTGGCATGAATATGCCCGTGTATCATCGACCCACGTTACCACATCTCATCAGTATGACAAGGGGAAAGAAAAAAAAGATGGCAGCACGGAGAAGTTGATAAATAATCTTCAACGGGTAGCTAAGTTTGTGGTAATATAGTTCAAAAGAAATGAAGATTAGTAAATGAAAAGCATAGTGATATTTGATCAGGTAGTCGAGTTTAAGCATATCACGTATCTATGCTTACATGCCACCTCAAGGTTAAGTAGTAGGTGGGAAATTATGGGCGAGATACGCTATCGGAGTAAACTGATTATGCTCCTAGTCAAGACCTCACCCCACATATTTTTCTTCAGTTCAGAAGGATAGATGTATGTATACTAATTATTAGTATATGTATTCATACAATTTTGCCAAATTTTACTCATTGATCATTTCTCTCATTCACGTAGCCGGCTTGAGCAAGCGTGTCGGAGGCTTGCCTGAACTGAACGTCGTGGATTGTAAAAATTTAAACTCAAGGTATAGCGAAAGCTAAAAAATTAGCAGCCGCACGTGACCGAGTAATGAACATTCTATATACAGGAATGTTATTTCAGTGTTCCATACCAGAGTTGATGAGTAAAAGTATAAAACTTTCTTGAAAAATGGTTGCATAACTATGCGATCTATGAATCGTTTATCATCTCAAATTCGATGTTTTTTATTTATTTTACAGGGAAAAACCAAACGAACTGTTTGTTGAAGAGGAGCAAGACTCAACAGCTGCTTGATAACAATTAATTTTTCTCGTCAACAAATTTTATTTTCATTTTAATCTTCGTTATTCCTCTCTCTTTCATATATATGCAATTTCGTATTACAAGCACACCGTTCTCAAACAACGTCCCGCCCCAAAAACATTAACAACAGTAGGAAAGATCACTTTTCAGTTCAATAAAAAAAATATTCTTGTCTCAAGTGTGAAATATTATTGTTATGATTACCATTATTACACGTCATGGAGAAAACATCATTTCTCCGAAATACAAATTGCAAAATGAAAAAAAGAGAGAAATTGTGAAATCTACCAAAAAATCATGTATAAAATTTATTCTTTGTATCTTCCTAAAAATATATGTATGAAATGATGTTAATGGCAAATGTTGTATGTATGTATAATATCAATTATTGTTGTTCCAGCTTTTCTTTTTATTGTCTTTACTTCTATGTGTATTTACATCGAGATGTGTTAGAGAGGGAAGGAAACCATTAGGTAACTGTGCTTCCTATAATTAGTTATTTAGTATGTAATGGTAGCTATCTTCAATGTCATTATGGTCGATATAGTGGGTATCGGTCATGAATTAGTATGATGATAGTAATAATGAAACAGTGAACAGAATCTCGTTAAATTTAATTACATTTTTGATTCAGAATCGACCGGGAATTAAGAAAACACAACGAATAATTTTTTTTCATAGAAAAAAATACAGAAGTGATAGTTACTAAGTAATATTTAAAGCTGATTTTTCCGAAGTTAGCATTTGTCCGACAGATCGTGCACGTGTATGCTGATTTAAATGAAGTTCACATTGTAGTCGGCTTACTTTTGTAGTAATTGGTTTCAGTCTTGGCGGTGGTCGTACATGAAATGCATAAATTGAAGAGGATGATCCGGTGATGTTTGGATGATTCTTATTGCCTGTTAAATTGCTCAGTTCTGATTTTCGTCTTAACAGGATAAGTTTGTTAGCGTCTACTTTAAACCAGCGGTCATCATCATTATCACCATTGTTCTCTAATGGCACACCCATAATCCATACAGGGCGTTCAGCATTCCATAACGCTGGTGGAATAGCGGGCAATGAAAAAATTGATGCATTTGTAATGATTGTTTGTCTACGATGTCTTTTTCCATTATTATCAACTTCCAGCCTAATATCACTGATGTTATTTATATCTTGTGTTAAAGAGAACTCAGAAAATTCACGAACAGCTTCTTTGCTGAAACTTTTTAGTTTAGTTTTTTTCTGTGTTTTTGTCTAGAAAAACGAATTTAAACAAGATATAAAAATCAATGAAATTATTATCTTCCAAAAAAGATACATGGTGATAGGAAGTATAGTGTATAATTATAGTAACTATGGATTGTGGTATTAACGAGTGCAATAAAATGTTGATAAAACTATAAACCACTATTGAGTAATGTTAATAAAGCGTATGTTGCACACGCTTATTTGCTGGCTTTTTATAGGATAAGGCTAAGCAAGATCTTATGATTGTCAAAACAAAATAGCATCAAACCATTAGATTATCGACTGTGTGCTATGTTGGAAGGTGCGGAGTTATTTATTCAAACACTATTAGACAGTCGTATTTAAGTAATGTGCTTTTAATAATTTTGGTCACCATGGCACAGGTATGTACATTCTTTATCATCCTTCAAAATCTCAAACATAATGTTTCCCAGTTTGTTCTTTGATTCTATTCAATTTTTAATGCTTAATTTTATTCTATTACTGGCAGTATGATTCCAAAATTTCTGGTTTTTATGTTGCTTTTTCTGCCAACCCAGTAGTTCTAATAGTCAAGCGTTTGCCACGAGACTTGGAATTCTTAGGTTTGACCTCTGGCAGTCTTACGAGTTTGGATTTCTGAGGACGTTTCATACTAAGATCAGAGCACTTGTCTGTTGCTCTATGATTTTGTGGAGTGGTTAAGAAGTTTAACGTTCAGTTACTAGATCGCATTTTTGCGCTCAACCCCACCTTAGATTTGAACAACCAGGTAATATCAATAACCCTTGCATTCGGAGTGTGGCTCGAAGCCAAGTACATGAATTCGTATATCGTAAATGAGTTTCGAAAGAATTGTTTTCTGTCTCTATGATAATGTAAATTGACATTTCTTTTTGTCAGACTCTACGTTGTCAAGTAATTCAGCTGAAGGAAATATTACAAACATCACAGTAACGATGACTTCATACTATAATGTATCAGTCAGATTGTATTATGGTAGAAAAGTTAGTGAATATTTTATGCTCTATGGATTGTGTATTGAAGCTAATAATTCTCAAACATATTTACACAATTGATAAATGAATATTTCGAAATACAGAATACAATAACATTTTGATCGGAACAATGCCAATTTGAATGTTATAGTCGTTATTAATAAATGAGTTTTTCCCTTACAAATTGGTTGATAAAATAAGTAAATATTTGTAAGATGTTTATATTCTATTGAACAAAGCTGGATTTAAACTCGAATCAGTGAATGTCACTATTTACAGGACATATTTTCAAAAAATTTACAAGATCAACCCTGTAGGATACTTCCAAACAAATATCATCAATCGAACAGGATGATAGTTGTGCATTTATTGCGAATGATTAGAAGTGAATATGTAAAACGACTCAGTAGTCTAGGGATCAGGCGTCCGCTAAGAGATCAAAGGTCTTTGGCTTAATCTTTGGTGAAGTCATGGAAGGGCAGTGTTGGAAAGTCCCATGTTGAAAAGAAACGGCTGCCCAGTGATTCCTGGTTTTCAGTAGTGGTTTAGCTAAGAGCAACTTGTGATCTAGACTGAAAATAAATTTATGGGAAGTGAAGACAAATCTGCAATGTGCATAATTCCATTTTTACCTTCATTTGTTGATGATGATTTTTCTTATTTCTAACACTTGATTTTCTATGTATGCGACAAATAGTCCAACGATTTCTCATTCTGTTAACCAGCGATTGTACCGGATTAATTATCGAATGTAAAGGTCCTTTAGTGTGATGATGAGATATTGTAGAAATCGAAAGTTTTCTTGGTAAAGATTCTTCGCCATTCTCATCACAATTTTTATCATCATACAGTGTATCACATTTATCAATACTTCCATTATTGTGTTTAACACTACTTTTCTCATTTTCAATGTAAACAGGAAATACACTCCATTTGGAATAGATTCTCTGTAAATATTTCAATCCATTAACTTCAGTATTGGTACTATTAACCGCCACATCTCCATTAATGGAATTATTATTCAGAGTTTCTTCATCATTAGCAGTGAATAGTGTTGCACATGATAGAACATGATTTTGGGATTGTGTATTACTCATATTGATATTATTTTGTCGTTGAGAAATAACGGTAGTCTTATTATTTAATTCATACGGTGATGAACTACTGACCATCAATGCTTGATTTTCTAATGATATGATTGATGGCTCGGTGTGATTAATATCAGCGGCTTCACCATTTATGCTCCCAATATTATTATTGTTTATATTAGGAATATTGGTTGTAGGGATAGTGTTAGTATTCAAGTTAAATAGACTAGCTTGACCATTAAATGGTGTTACGTTAGTCATATAAGAGGTACAATTGTTGTCGAATGTTGACATTTCAGAGTATGTGCTGAGCTTATGGCAACTTGTTATTGTCTTGTTTGTAATAAGGTGATATTTTTCGTTATTATTAATACTCTGTAAACCAGAGATTTTATTACTTTGGTTAGTATTTTCTAATTTTGAAAATGCTGGACCATCCAACGAGTAACCGGCAGGTGTTACAATTGATCGATTTATTTTTGCATGTTTAATTCTATCTGACCTTTTTCGAAATGAACAAGAAACCATAGTGTAGAAGGTGAATACGTGATACATAATTTAATAATATAGTATTAAAATAAGGAAAAATGTACTGAACAAGTTGTAAAGTAGTCTATGACCATTATACAGGAATAAATACAACAAGGGCGGCCTGCTTGAGCATCTGGGCTACCTGATCCTGCCATCTAGATATTTCAACAAGTTATCTATTATTGTTTGTTTTAATATACTATTATGTTTATTAATCGCATGACCTATTCTGCTGCGTTTCTGAAAAGTGTACAACCTTTCGTTGTCAAAGTTACAGAAAACTCAATAAGAGACAATATGGTTGCTGGCAATGTACAACGAAAAGAATGTACATTATTCAGTTGTTCATTCACTGAAGTGCTAACATCTAACTGGCGATTCCTCAATATTTATCGCCAGGACCGACCAAGAAGAAAGAAACGGAAACTTGTTGAAATACTTTGCGCTGAGAATTCTATATTGTACCAAAATTATAATATTGAATAAAGCTAATAATAATAATAATAATAAAAAAAATGGTGCGATATTTTCATTTCTTAATATGAAACTACAACGGGTTAGTAGATGAATAGTTATGCATAGAAAATACTCATATAAGATATATTTGGAGAAATCATCTTCATCCTAACAGTTTTTGGTAAATTCTCTTCTACAATTTTAATGAGTAAATTTAACTTTGGGACTTCGACGACTGATGGAATCTAATCACATTAAACTGTCAGATTGGTTTTCCTACATCGACGTATTCAAAATCGGTCAACGTCACGTCAGTTTAAACTCTTAGGTTACCCAATAGGCTGTAGACTTCAGCATCGCTGTCTACTTCGGTTCAGACAGCAGAGCAGTCCTAACAAGAAAATATTGTAATTTAGAGTACATGAACCTGAAATGAGTGTTATGGAGTTATAATAGCTGAATGCTGAATACAACCTAGAAGTTACGGAAGCAATTCCAACTAGTAGTTGTAGTTATTTATGTAATTACACGATTGTTTGATTTGAGTTGCTACAAGATCTTAGTAAAATAACAATGCGTAGTAAGTCGGTTTATAAGAATAAATAAGAGCGAATACCATCAAGATGACAAAGCTAGGCATCGATCAGTCATAAGTAGAACCTGCAATACATGTATATCGACTCAAGTTGTCACACCATATCAGCATGAGATGAAATTACGAAGTTGAAACTTAAGAAAGTAGTAGTAGTATAAGATGTAGTAAGAAAGATTACGCATAGAGTATGATTGGAGAAGAAAAAGTAAAGTTGCGGAATAAAATATAAAAAATAATTCTAGGTCATAGGATATAAGGGAAGACAAGGAATGAGTGGATTTACATCTTCAACCAGCGATCGTGCGAACTCCAATCGGATAGTTTGCACTTACCACCAACAATCAATAGCTTTATGGACTGATGCCCTTGTTGTTATTTGGTTGCCCCTAGCTTTAATCTTACCTATTCCTACACCAGGTACTATTGAACACCGATGTGTAATATAACGTCAACTGGAACTGTGAGTTTATGGGTGATGTTAATAATAAGACTTCACAAATTCAAATTGTTTACCAAAATGTTCTTCAAATAAAAATAAGATACATTCGCGCTTTCGCAATGATCTACATACGCTGATGTTATGCGAATATTTACACGTATAATAAGCGAAGTGATGTCCTACTTATATCTTTCGTACGATCAAGTTGTTCGAACTTCTTTATAAGACCGAGCGTAATTCACTAATTTTCATTGATGCAAACAAAAGCTCGATTTGTATGGATCAAATTAGTTACGACATAAGTTATAAACCCGTACGTGAACGAATGAAAATCCTATCTCGCGTTATTAATATTGGTAACAGGAACTATTTAAACTGGTTTTGAATTTTAACCATGTATTGTGACTTGTTTTCCATTTCGTAATCTAAGTATTTATTAAGTAAACGGAGTACCAATAACAACTTCACGTTTTCATTCAGTTCAAACTTTATTAAACTTCCAATTCAAAAGAATTAAGTGATTATGAAATGTAATGTGAAAGGAAAATTACCTTGTTCGACGAACAGCAACAAAATCTGATAATGATGTCGGTATATTTGAAGTGTTCTCTTTAATTTCCTGGATAGAAACCCGAGGAAGTAAATAAGACATAGTTGTATAGGGCTTTTTCTGATTATTAGTTGTGATACAGGTATCGTCGGAATAGGAATTTTGAGTAGCATTAAGAACACCAGTAAGAGCAGTTGTTCGAATATCATCTGTGTTCGTAGTAAAGTATAAAGCATTTTTGTTATCATGGGTATTACTACTACCACGAAAATAAAGTGCTTTACCGGATAAAATATTGGGGAATTTATCAACAAATAATATGTTTGGATACGAACCAGTTGAATAGTGATATTTTTCACCGATAGAGTTCTTCTCAACTTCACCACCTTCAACACTGCCAAAATCAAGGTTGGAACTTGTTTTGTGCACAACTCCGACCACTTCAAATTTCTCCAAATCTAGTGATCCAAGAGAAACAAATGTTTTTCTTGTTAAATCACCGTTTGTAGTGAACACTTCAGGCATGGACAATGAGCTTGGAGCAGAAAGCTATACAAGTACACAAAAGGATTAAACATTACTTCGTAAATATATCGCTCGGTACCATGATAAAAAGCAGTCAAACACATTTATTGAAAAGCCACTGTTAGTCTTTAGGTTCCGTGCGTGTCAGAACGCAGGTGATGATCGTTACTGGGACTCTACATAAGGCATCATTTACGCACTCGATGTTAGTGTATCTGTTCTCAGAACTAAGGTGACATCGCTTTACATAGAATTTCCAAAAAAATATCACTAGACACTGGATAGATGTAGTGGACACTTACGATCCTAATTATACAATCGTTTTATAGACTTGTAATTTCATATATGCGTATACGAGTATACAGCTTTGAAAAATAACTCATTTAAAAGAATTCCTCCGATGAACTGATTTTTAATGATCTAGTTGTTATATTTGAACAGAATAATAGATTCATTGGTGAATTTAATACTCTATTCCTGTTTGAGTACTAAGTAATAATAATAGCAAAGACGGCACGAAATTGACTAGGGTGATCGTATGACTTTTTTCCTCTACTAAACTTTACAGTTCATCAGTACATACTTGAAAAGGTAAAATAGTGACTTTAACTTATAGTGACCTACTTTTATCAAGAGAACGCGAATGGTCTAATGGAAACAATTATTATTATAACGAATTGTACCAGGGATTGTTTTACCGTACCAAAATACATACATTCTTCCGTTGATTGTGACCTTGCACGAATTCGGTTACGCTCAGTAAACCCACTTGTAACCTGGCACCACGAGAGCGCCAACAAATACATCTCGACTACAGCCATCAACTGCCTTCTAATATTTGGTCTAAGGGGGATCTTATCGGTTAACTGGCACGTAGTCTTCCTGCAATGGTGATCATAGTCAATCGCGACTCAATGTCACACTACAAACTAATACAATTATTTCTTTTCGATAGTTGTAACACATTATACCTCGTGCTACAAGTGTTGTGTAGTTTGATATGGCAGAAAACAAGATTCATTAATAATCCAAATTTACTAAAAACGTACATACCATGAAAGGCATAGTTTTTATGTATACTTAGCTCTTGTGGCAACTGAAAATCAAAACGAGAGCCAAGATGTGAATCGGGCAACATCGAAAAACACCAGTCATAAATTAGGAAGTAGTGTGTCAGCAATATCCTATTTACTATCAAATATCCAATTTTTAGTTTTAATGCCGAAATGAAGTGAGTCCAGGGAGTACTTAAGTAGAATAAAAGAGACGTAAGAATTCCACTAGTTTTCAGTACTATTTTTCATCGATTTCCACAAATTTCCAGTTCCCAAAAATGACTAATTTAATGTAAGATATAGTCAGGTCCTCTGGTAAAGTATTAGTGATACAGTTGAGACTATAACTAACAACTAACACGTGGTATGTAATATTTATGCATCACATGATAAGTTAGAAACAGAAGACAAATTATTCCCAGTGGATTTAATAAAATTCCGACTATTTAGTATTACGAGTTTGTTCTCACTATCCTAATACTTTTACTTATCGTAATCGAAGTCACTTGGAATAGATTTTTATGGATTAGATGTATATTGGATTATTGGGTCATTAAAATGCATTAAGTTAACGTGAGATCACATTTAGAATTCCAGAAGGTCATCGCGTCTATTTTCAAATATAACTATAGGTTATTTCAGGTTGTCACAGAATAAAAATATAATTTTTATCCTATTGAGTACCTAACTAATTATTCCCTAAACAGTATAATATTTATACTTTTAAACTGAGCTCAAAATGGCTTTTTGGTAGTAATGCTTGGATCCACTAAAACCATGCTTATACATTATTATTTTAGAAGGACTAGTGTTATGATGGAAGATTTAAAGGTTTTATAGACTATTTCTCGATTGTTAAGGTGGAAGAAATAGAATCCTGTTCGATAGATGATATGCAGTGGTACAAAGTGGCTGCTCACGAGAGCGAACCATCGGTGTAAGCTTCTGGATAATTTTGTATGAAAGGCAGGATCACTAACAAGGATAGGATTTTCCCAAAGAAGAAATACTCTAACACGATACATTGACATGAAAATGAACATAGTCAATTTCTATAAACTATTGTACGAAATCAGCTTTGTAGGACACTCCTAACTCTTAAGTCTAACTCCAGCACGTCATATGAACATTTTATAAAATGCCTCTGAAGGGACAGTCTGGGAATATTTGGTAGTTTATTTATTTATTTGAACATATAAATATTGGTGGTAGTCTCTAAGAAAGTATGTTTCGAACTCATCATTAATACATTTGTATTCTAACACATGTTGTTTACTTCTGTAATCAAAATTAATAATGTTACGAGAAACAGTTTATGTAAAAGAAATTAACTATTCAGGATTCCTGATTGTGATATACAACAGAAAAAGTCTAAAAAGGTGTTGCTTATTCTATGGTTAAATACACATTTCGATAAATATTGCAGTCACTTGGGTAGACAATGGATTCCGTTTAATTTCCTTAAAAGCATAATGATCTTAATCCATTTTTGATGTACAGAACTAACCAGTAATTGTGTTAGAAGATAACGTTTACCACCTGGGATCTAATCATCATAACTAATGAAGTGAAACATTAGATATTTTCTTAAAAATAACCTCCAAAATTAGAATAACGTCAATAAAAATATAAAACTTGAAGGAAAAACGATGCACACACATATTACCTGATAGTTTGTAATGAAACTTTCATTTTCAGGACATAATTCTCCATCAGAGTAGTGAACACCACTTTTAGACGTATTTATCCTTTTCTTTCGTTTCTTTTTATGAATAGACCGACATTGTGTACAGTACATATAGAAGACATTTACTGAAACAATCATAGACCCAGTTATACATAGAACTGCATTAATTCTTAAAGCCAAATTGTTCAATTTAATCAAGTTTGGTATGAATCCCCATAATAATATACCGCAAGACCCACTGATAACACACAGCATACCAATAATGGTCCCAATTAAAAGGATTTTACTTATGTAAAGTCTGTTCTGCGGTGAACTGAATTCAGATGGTCTTGATGAACACATATGTTATGATGTAAAATAATAGTTGGGTTGATTATAAGTTGCGGTAAAATATCAGATGGGTAAAACTATATTGATTAAAAGAATGTCGGCTAGAATTAATTCTAACCAAAAATAAGGTCATTTTGTTTGTAGTCATGTATTATTGGAAAAACTATGTTTGAAAATGAATGTATTTCGTATTGATTCATATTATCTTATGTTACTTGCTCACCATGTTGACGAATCATCTTGATGTACATAAAGGCAGAAGCGATGAAAATGACTTATATCAGGTAAAAAGATGACTATTGAGCTGTGTGAAGTGTCGTCAAAAGTTTGCATAAGCGCAAGTTTCTTCTTCAATAATCACTCACCTTATGTCTAAAATAAGAAACAAGATCATCGAAACCAATCACAGTAAAATTATTACAAACTAGTCAACGACTTAAAAACGTCCTATACCGAATGCCTAGTTGGAATATATACAACCTTGCAGTAATTGTAATTGGCCTAACATAGTTGTACTTTTTATAGCTGCAGAGTGGAAGTATATCGACAATGGAGATAAAAAGAGATGGACGACAAAAAATAGTGCGAGAAAAATCACGGGGTAGAGTGCACACGCATAACATTAAACAAGAATCTTATTTTGTCGAACCTAGTGTACAACAATAGCACTGTGCAGTGCCATTCCTTTGTCAAAAAAACCCAAAGATGTTTACCAACATTGTTAGATTTGAGCGAATAATTGTAGTGATAGTGATAGGAAAGAACAGTAATAACAATGATTATAATGGCTCTATTCGACAGCGAGAACTTCGACGTGGTATAGGATTTTTAGCACGATTTGTGCAGTATTGCCAAAAAGTACTTCTTCAACATGCATTCGAATTGCAATTGTCTGAAATATATTTCATAAATATTTTAACAATTGGTATCCGGAACCTATATTTAACCACTGACGTCTTCCCTGAGTTAAACTGCTACAAATATATATGCTACCCGCCATATATAGTGTTTGCATTTCAACATAACTGTTAGTCGTTTTGTCCAGAAGATGAGCAACAGTGACGAACGAGCCATGAACATAGATATTTATGTACGAGTCCCCCAGCAATTGGCATGAGAAAAATTTAGTATTTTGCTTTGTTTGTAAAAATTATTCAGTTTAAATAAATCTAGAGCACGTAGGTTAGCTTCAATATTTATAGAATATGAAAAATAGGTAGCCCAAACATTTTGAACATGAAATAAAAAATCGACAGCTGACACTTAGTCTGTATACTGAATTCAGTGTGACCACCACAGGTATACAAGTTTGTAACAGACATCCAGAACAGAAAAATAAGTAGGATCTGTATGGTTACTTCAAATAGTCATAGACATTAAACAGGAGTATAAAGAATAAAAAGGGCTAATTAACAGAAAGTCAAGGGAATCTGACATACACAATATCCTTACATTCGACTGAATCCAAACCAGCAAAAGTATATAATGACAAATTGCCTAAGCGTAGCAACACAACTCGTGCTAGCGGCTACTTATTCCAATTTCCAATATAGTTTCAAATGGTTTCGAATGGTTCTGGACGGAATAGAAGTATTTGCTTAACAGGATTCCGTATCTAGTAGCAATGGATTACCAACGCCCCGAGGTAAGAACCTAGGTATAATAATGATGGAAGAGATAAAAGAATAATTAAATTATAGCTAGATACTGACCATGGTCCTTAAGAATATGTCAAATTTTCTCCTGAGGAAATCCTGGTCAATCACTTGGAATAAGTCAGCTGACAGTGAATTCCAACGTTTAACTATTCTTAAGGAATAGGAGTTATGTCTACAGTCCGTTCTGCTGTGTTGTTTCCAATTTCTGGATTCGCCCCTAATAATCGTGTTAAGACTGACCTTAAGTAGGTGTTTAAGGGGATGACGAGAAGTTTTCAGGATGTTGTAGGTTATTAGGTCACCTCTAAGACGCCTTTACTCTGATGAGTGAAGGTTCAGTAATTTGAGGCGCTCTTCATGAAACTTGAATTTGAGTCCCTGAACTGATTTGGTAGCTCGCCACTGGGTACCTTCCAGTGTGTCCTTATACTTTTGGAGTGAGAGAGGAAACATTATATTTCTATTTTATGGACAAGGTCGAATAAAACTGCTGAAGATAAGCGGCAGGTTCTTCCGTCCAACTGGCCGAAATGCGCTTAAACGTTACCAGTGCATGGTTTCTTAGTAAGGTATTTTTGTTGTAGTCAGTATACAGCTTCATATCATAGGGTATCATCACTCATAGACCTTTTTCACCATGGGATCCTCTTGTAGCGGTAAATAAATCCCCACTCTGAAGGGGAGTTACCTAGATTATATTCATGGTCATGTCTAAGCGCGGACTACTTTGCACATTGAGGTGTTAGAAGTAAGTCTGTTGTCATCTGCTCAACTTTGAAACAGATTCAGATCGCCCTAAAGTGTAAGCTTATCCTATTGGTTGCAAACTTCTCTCCAGAGTTCCACATCGTGAGCAAAAAGTAAGAAGTCTGTGGAAGATCGTTTATATAAATTAAGAAAAAAAGAGATCCTAGTACTGAATCTTGGAGGGCATCATTAGGAAATTTCTTAGCCTGAGAAAATGGAAGTAAACTCTAATCTTAAAAGGTCGTCTTTTCATACGAGAAGTAAATCAATCAGTTAACCGTAACTTGATACCTAGCCATTTGAGCTTATTGATAAGGTATATATGATGTGTAACGGAAAAAGAACGATGAAAATCCCCCCGCAGCGTTTTTGTTGGACAGTACTGTCATTTATTTGTTTCTTCTCCCTCTCGTGTATTTTAACCTTTGTTCAGATCTCGTTTAACCACATCTTTTGTTCTTTAGTCCTCCTCCTATGAGCCTTTATCATGTGATTTTGATTAAAAATTTATCTTTTATTGCCCAATTTTCTATTGCATGTTGCCGGAGTATTGACAGTAGGGTCGTGTTTGACTAATCTCAAGGTCACGGCATGGTTTATTGCGAAGGCGTTAACCTTTGACCGTCTGCTCGGGATGATTGCTGGAATCCCTGCAGGTAGATATTTGATCCCATCTTGTTGGGGACATTTTTATTGATTCTCAGGTATCGATCGAACCCTTTGTATTAACTGTTTCTTTTTTGTTTGGCGCGCTACTTTGCGATAGAGAAACTGTTGACTGTATAGTACAGGCTGTACCGTTTGGGGTATTTTGTATTTTTGATATAATTTGTTTTATTTCCTAAATTGGAACCTTTCAAATTGAGCACAGAGTTTGTGTTTTGATATAATTTAATGCGGGTATCTCAAAAACTCTTGGTACGCTATACAGAATAAATTTCGGTTCGTCAGTCCTGCGTTCAAACCGAATACTGGCAATCCGGTCGTTACATGATGGGCCTCATCAAAAGCTTTTGAGAAATTACATTATAAAACAGTAGCCTTATTCTTGTGATCAAGCATAGTTGTCCATCTGTCCACAGCGGTCAGAAGGTCATTTATACAAGAGAAACCCTTTCCTGAAGCCATGCTGCTGTGTTGTAAAGACGTTTATAGATGGCAAATAGTCATGCAGATCGTTAAACATCAGAGACCCCATAATTTCTGAGGTTATTGAGAGAAGTGCTATCGACCTGTAGCCTGACGGTCCGCTTCGTTGACCTCCTTTGAAAATCATTATAATGTGAGCCAACTTCCAGTTTTCTGGTGATGAGCCTCGGCTTGGTAATTGTGTTGCCTGGATTGAAACGGCTTCCCACAATATAGCGGAATAGGCCATACCCTGACAGGTGAAATGTACTTGTGTCGGAAACCGCAGCACCTAAACAAGAACACTTCTCATTAACCGAGTATGGTCCATTCTACTATACTGAGGAAAGCGGATTCAATTTTGCAACATTACTCAACGTGATGTTCTCACATTTGCTAAGCCAAGGCACAATATCCAAAATCTTTGTTACGAGCTTGTATAAACCTACTTTCTTCTTGTTGTTTTGCTACGGTTTCGGCACAGTACTTGGTCGTGTCGAATGTGTGGTAGTCTAGCCCTAATTCTATCTGCTTTAGTAATTATTTTTGGATTTGCATGTCATGTAGTTGAATGAGTCCAATTATCCAAGGGCAGTTGGATTTCTAAGTACCAGCATCTATCACATTACCAGAGAGGAAGTTGATTGGTTACAATTTGGAGATGATAAAGAGATAATTCAAATGCTAAGAAATGATTGTCTCAGGAACAAGTAGATAATTGTATTAATTGGTAATATGTAATAGACGGAATCGAAAGAATAAGAGGGGAAACGGAGATGATGATAAGAGAGATTGGAAGTGTTTACTGATTGCGGCAACGATAACTGTGATAAGTAATCAGACATGAATCAAACACAGCTTACCCAAAAGGAGGATGGTAATCCATGAGTATGCTTGTGTCTGTGAAATCTCCTCTTAAAGCTATCCATTGAGGGCTCCTTAGTCACCTCGGCTAGCATAGCATCTCAAATGGGAGCAATGCGCAGTGAGAGAGTGTGAGGGCGTACCTGGGTGTTGGCTTTTTGATTTGCAGTCTTTCGAGTGTGGCCTCAAGGAGCGTGATGACAAAGTTCTGGCAATATGCTCGTGAGATTTGTATATTTGATGTGCTGTATGCCATCACCAGATCATCCCTTATTCTACTATAGCTCGGTGAGGATAATCTCAGATGCTAAAGTCTATCCACGTAAGATTTAGGATTAAGCCCTATCACTCACTTGGTTACTCGTTTCGGTGTGTGGTTGGTGAAATTTATATCCGTTTTGAAAAGAGAAGGCACAACAACGTTGTGGACTTCAAGATGAGGCTATGTGTGAGTTTTGAACAGTGTTAGGAACAACTCTGAATTGGTTGCTCCAAGCTGTCTACACATGAAGTGAAGAGTTTCGTTTGCCTTGGCTAGATCTTCCGTGTAATCTTGAACTGTTATATAGTCTGTTTGTGGTTAAAAGCCCGAGATCAATCTCTGGAGAGATAATCGAGTGTGAATTCCTATGGGGAGTTTAAGTACTTTGTGTCAAACGAGGCTGAATGTTCAGGACATGAAATTTCAACAAGTCAAGTTTTAACCCGTTGTCTACTGTCCATTCCTCGATTGTTATAAGGTTCTTCTCGAGATCAAATGAATCCTTCTCACGTTTTATGAACCTTCAGACTATCTCATTATTTGCATGCTGTTGTGCCACCGGCACAATTATATCTAAAAGGTCATCAACAAGGATCAGGAACATAAGTGAACATAAGATTGTTTCCTGTGAAGCTCCTTATGATGAAACCCCGCAGCACTCTATTTACCTTGGCACAAAACATCCTGTTGTCTAGGTAGTTACGGAGCCAGAATAAAAATGGACTAGTTTATCCCATCTCTTCAAACTTTGCTATGAGAAGTACATGAAGTATTGTGTCAAAGGCTTATGCGAAACCAAGGAACATTACATGGACCGGCATTTTATGGTCACAGCAGATCGTTCAAATATCGCATGCTGAATTAAGGATTATGGTTGAAAAAACCTTGTTATAATTCTTCGTCTGTTGCGTCCTTATCTTCTTGCATGAACCAGACACTTGATATGGTTTTTCTGTAATGGGCTTCCTTTACCTGATCTGAATGTTATTGTAGCGAAATCGCCCTAGGTGGCATTCATAATACTTCGCTTCATGGTTTCTCATTGTTTATCGACACGTGGAGGGAAGTTCCTCACGTAGCTATATTATTCACTTCTATGAAATGGAGTGCGACGTGCCTGATAATACAACAGTGTGTTCGATCGAATATGTAGTTGAATCTGCTACGCAGGGGTGCTTGAACATGAGTAATTTGGAAAATGATTTGATTATACGCGTGTAGACTTCCCTGCCGTTGTTGCTTCCCACAATTGTCTTAACGTGTGTTAGACCCTATCCTCAAGCATTCTAGTGCTTTGATTACCGCTCTAAGTTGTTTGTCGAACAGCCTTTTTGAAAGTCATCCTCAGTACTGTGATGATTCAGTAATTGTTGAATGAAGATCGTGAATATGAGTAATTATTCATACTATAGACATCACAACGTTCAAATAAATCAGGCAAGCTGTTCTCTGTTCTATTTTGCGTGTAAGGAAGCTGCATATTCCTTCTATTAGCATTTACTGACTTCATCTTAATACAAGACAACCCAACTCTAGTAGATTTTCAAGCCCTGTATGAGTAGGTGTTGTGTCCTCAAAGTTCCCTAACCACGAGTCTATTCTCTCTTCTGAGCTACCTATGTTATGCTGACAGAATCATACTCTATGTTCCCATATCAAAGTCATTGATTCCTTACTTAAGCAACACAATTTAATGTATGTGATGTCAAATTCTGACATACTGCAATACTCCTCTCACTACTGTTCATCAAAGTACCTTTGACTTCCAATAGCCAGTGACTTTGTACTGGACTACTGAAAAAAGTAAGGCTGATCAACCTGAAGTCTGTATTTTTCGCCTCATCCCTCGATCTAACAACTCTTTTATCATCTGAATTGTTCTTATTGCTAAGCACTCGTTTGTCTTTTCCTCATCTCTTAATTCTAATAATCTGGGGAATAGAACCTTCTATGTGTGAGCATTGCAGATATTTGGCGTTGATAGTGATGGTGATCCCCAGTTTTTCTAGGTTTAACCGATGATTGCTACAGCAGGCAGTGTCAGAAGGAAAGGATGTGCCAGATGAGCATCTCGTAATGATAAAACACTCAAGGACATTTGATCCATCATGATTCACATTATGTGGGTGGCAATAAGCTCATTAACTGGAACGTTAGTCACTGAAATATCAACCAAGCATCAAATCGAGACTTTCTAACGGAATGCAGCCTAGGAATCTTGTTGACAGAAAACAATGACGCTAGAAATACACAACTTAGGACTGCGTCACACCTCACTTCTTTCAACAATGGATAACTTTACTGACTTATGAGATGTTCTGAACAATTCGAACGATTTTTGCCATCTTGAGGTGGAACAGTCATTATATGTGATGTACTGAACAGTTCAGGTCACCCCACTAAAGCAATTCTACATGGAGCTCAGAATTTTGCTTTGTTATGGTACACTGACAACCAATAGATCTCACGACGGATATCGAGCATATATTCCATGAATCTGTTGTTGCATTTCAAGGTCGAAATCCACCCCGATACTTATAGCTTCTAGAGGGAGACTTAGTTTTTCTGGACCAGGAGCATATAAGTGAAGGTTCGACTGGTTGGAACAGTCTCTAGCTTCCAGGTGTGATACATTGAAGATTGGGGAACAGGTCTTCGTCGCTGAATTGCTGGAGTGCTAATGATCTAAAAGAAACCAGATCGATCTATTCGTTATTAGAAGAGATTCTTAGTTTGATTTGATTTGACCAAACCAAATGAATTAATGTCCATGTCAAACTATTATATATGTAGCTTGGGAACAAGGAAGTGATTATCACTTGTGACGTGGAAAGTATGCCACAAGTTAGACTGGATATATTTTGAGCTAGAATGAAGATTAGGAAGCGAAATATCGTAACATCTATTATAAAACGAATATGTTAAACAGCATATTCACGATCCACTTTATTGCTTAAACAGAACCACATAGTTTAAAAAATTTAAAGTTCGAGTTAAAGATTTTTTAACACTTTGTCAGCTCAGTAAAGTTTTATTGGGAATTGAAAGTCGTATTATGCAAACTGCTTTGTAAGGTCATTAATATACCGTTTTGTCTGAATTGTCCGCGCTCTATTTCACGTAGATCATGAGCTATCACTCGTGATGGGTCTTGAGGAAAGCAAAATTGGTCAAACAAACAAAGCTAACTGTAACACACCAAATTTGTGTTTCTTTGCGCCTGTTTCACCTGGAAGAATAATTCACCAATGCACTCTGGAGTTATGGAAAAAATCTCACCGGGGTAACGTGATATATATTTTACTCATAAGGCATGTTTAGAACTTTTCAACTTCTCAGACAAGGTGATGGTGTGTACCTATCAACTGCCTCATGATTGCACATCGGCATTTTGTCTAACTAGGCAAAATATTGTGAATTTTCGAAAATCGTGTTCTGTTTTCTCACTGAGAAAGCGAAGAGAATATACAAAAATGGCTGAACATTTCGAGTATAATCACATACCTGCTCATTTATCTTCCATTCAGGTACTTGAATTTTAGTTAAGAACTACTTTTAGAATTTACACTTCAAATCGGTGTTAGACATTCACAGTGGATTGGCAGTTGTTCATTTGGCACGAGATATGATAACTCAGTTTGCATTAGTTGACTTAAGGATTAATAAATTCCTTGGTTCTTTTGGTCGGCAAACGGTTCTCTTTAGTCCTGAATCAACCATAGGAAAAATATCACCCGATGGAACTTATTGTCTAATTAGACTCCCTTGGTCGAGAAATAGGAGAGTTTATATACTCAAGGTATGTAATCAGTTACACTTCTTAGTGTTTAGTACCTTGATTGTAGAAGATTTGTGCTGCAGTTATTTTCACGTTATATTCTACGGGCAGTTCTAATGGCTTTTCATTTTTGTATGTCAGTATTTTCTTTACATATTTTGACAAATATATGTGTATATTCTTGATGAGGGGTGAGGATTTATTTAAATCAATATTTTCAAGTGGAGTAACTGTCACCTAAAACTCAGGCTCCAGAGAAATGATATCGTATTATGTTGAATTTAAAAATAATTGAAGCTTGACGGTTGATTGTCGTTATTCTACTCATACATATAGACGTATAGTCAAGGTTTAAACAACTTACTAATAATACTATCTGTTAACTGCATAAACTCGAAACTTGCAAACACTCACGATCGTATAGGATGCTTGGTGAATATTTAAGTGCCAATCAAAAAATAAACGGATTCTTCTGATTAACCTAAGTTTGTCTTCTATCTGGCAATATTACCATAAACATGGATACTTTCTAGTGCTTTGATTACTAGTTTTGCTATGATGACTACTACATGCGTATGTTTAAACTAAAGTTGTTTTCGGGACACTACTTAGTTTAAGAACGTAAAAGTTTAAATTTAAAATTTCACAGTTATCCATATTACCCTCCGTTTGTTTCATTACAATATTCACTTCTGTATACTATTTAATACTTAGAACATTCATCCTACTATTGTCACCCGAATCTGTTATTTATTAGGGAATGTAGAATAGTTTCATGGCTGACGAATGACATGCATAGTGATGTAAATAGTTTCTTAGTAATCAAGAAACGATCAGTTACTGGTCAGTCAAACTCAAAAATAGAAAACTAAAAGTTAAATGGGACGTTAGGAACGGTAATGTTTTACAATTCTAACTATGTTAACACATCTTAAGCACTCTTGGAATGTTATTGTCTTACATGTCTAACATGGCTTTTACAGGTGTGGTCTATACATGTAACAATGATCACTTATAGTTTCTGCGTGCTAATCTTTTTAATTTTTTGACTAAGTAACAAATCATGTGTACACGCTTAGGATTTGGAACAGATGGTACTATAAAAGATTAAGATAATTCGTCCCTTCAAAATCATTTCGAGGTAGTAGAAAAACATTTATCCATGCTTAAAACAAACATCCAATGACGGTTTTTGATTGCCTTCTCAATGGAGACTTTTATAATGGAATTCTATTTGGAAATTTCACCTTTGTAGGTGACTTAAGTGCTAAATGAATGGTTTACATATAGTGACACTCATCTATTCAGATGTGTAACTATTGTTTATCATTCTTCCTTGTATTTGTTTTCAAAAAACGTGGGAATCATTATTTTTCATGATTCGTCATTCACCGTTTACTTACCGAAGCATAATAGCTGGTAAGTCCCGTTTATTCCAACATATTTTTAAGTTTCATTTAATAATTACCGTTCTGTCAAGTAGTTTCTGAAATAAATATAAAATGCCCAACCCTTTAAAATAAGAAGATTATGATTAGGTGTGGGTTTAGTAGCTGATTTAATGACACTGGTATTTGAGTTCTGTTTAAATATTGGGAGGAACTTATATTAAGTGCAACATATATTCATGGTTTAGCTGTTTTATAGTAAAGTAACTCAGTTGTGCTCCATTTTTTTCTTTTCAGAGTTTAGGCTGTTAAAGTTTTCGTACAAGTCAAGTCAGCCACTGTTCTCTTTTTATAGTAATTTAAGAATGAACTATTCATTAAGACTTATATAAAGTTTATCTCTGGTATCAACTTATGTTAATACGTTGGGTCTCATGAAGTTTAAGAAGAATTTCATGTTAAAAGAGCTGTTTGCTATCTGCAATTGTTTTATAAATATTGGCTTTATTTCATGTAGTTTGAGAATGCGCTAAAAATTCAGCTGTCCACATAAAACTAAATCAAAATAAAAGGTTTTTTATATGGTTTATTAGTAAAATATTCATCTGGTATTATGCGTTTGTTAAAAGTTTGGTTTTTAGCTTAAAGGTATTTTAAGACTTTTGAATTTCTAAGATGATTTTCATTGTTTTCACCCAATTATTTTCTTTTAAAACACATGAGACACTACAGTATAAAAAACTGGTTGGCTTTGTAAATATTTTGATGAGAAAAACTGAAGAGTTTCGTCGTATTATAACACAGTTTGTGCTCTGTATTTAGATGATTATCATTATTTACTAACGATGGAATAAATCATAAGTAATAATTTAATAGTTTTATATGAAAAAGATGAGATCAAATGATTCACTCAGACAGATGAATTATATCTACACAGAGAACAAAGATTAGTAAACACTGATTTTAAGCATAGTCTTTATTAAGAATGGTAGACCGGTTTATGAAGTAAACATGAGATGGTTGAATGATACATTACGTTGAACGTCTGCTTGACTCAGCGTGCAAATGCTATCTAAAAACAGCCTTTTTTTCGTACAAATAGGTATTTGGTACTTGTTTGGAAGAAACTTTTCACTTTCAATGCTCTATTTCATCTGTTGATTTATCCTCCCTGTGTTGTCTCATGAAAATTTGAGTCTTTATACATTTTTAAATGTTAAATGTCATCCACATTCTATCTGAGTAATCTAACTTAATTAGCTGAAATTCGTTGTAATGTGAAAATAATAATACTATGATTATTTACTTTGTTTTTGATGTATTTTTTCATTGTCGTTCCAGCTGTACAACTTACGAAATAGTGAACTTATTTCTGAACTTCCATTAGCTAATTCTTCTAATTACGATGAAGTGCCATTAAACAGTTTCCGTCTGCCATTAGGCCCATATCAGGAAAATAATAGAGAGTCAAATATTCGGCCGTCGTACGATATTTTATCAACATCCAACTCAGTAACTGCAAACTTTAGAGGGAATGCACAAAATGAGAATCAACTTCAACTAGGTCCAGCTCGTTCTTCTCAGGTGTTGTTTGCTTTTGATCCACGATTTGTAAATTCACGCATAGCAATAACTAACGTGGACTTTCCACATGGACCAAACTCTCACAAAGTGTCTTCCAACTGGGTCCCAGGAATACAGGCTACTATAAGTTTGGTAAAACTTCCAACATGGGAGTGTTTAACATCAACTAACAAACTTTGTTCTTGGTCTCCTTCAAATCGTCACGGTTCACCTTTTATAAACAATGCTACGTGTAGAGAACCGACAAGACGAAGACGATCATCAGATGCTAACCATGTAGGTGGTTTACCCAGTCCGAACTCATTCAGTCATGTTTTTCCACATATTATGAGCATATTTTATTCAAGAGATGGCTATTTTTTATTTACAATCACCACAGAGTCTCGAACCTGTCGATGTTCTGCCATTGGTAATATTAACCATTCTGTGAATTCTTTATTACCAGATGTATCTGGTTACTCAGATGATATTTGCAACCCCTTAAGTTCAGGCCGACCAACAAACAACGGAACTGAAAGTGGTCGAACTCAGCAAAAGAACTTGGTTTCAACACAGTGTATTGAATCAAATACACGTTACAATCCAAAAAATAATAGTACATCCCCAATGTTGGCTCCCACACTGCCTGGTTGCACCACTTTGTGGCTTACTATTTTCAATTCTGATACATTAGAAAGGTTAAGAATTTTGAGATTTGATCGATCAGTATGCCCAATTCACACATGTCCTACCAATTACCTACCCGTAATGAGCCGTTGTGGATCAAGGATAGCTTTAATTACACGACAAGCAGTGGGATATTATAATAGTACTAGTAATCAGAACGCCAGTAATAATTCACGTGAATACCTGTTTTCCAGCTGTAAGACGCTTCCTGTATCTTTAAGGCACTCCGTTCCATCTATAAGTGTAGAAGGCTGTTCTCATTCACAATGCGTGATTAACAAAAGTGCTAGTCAAGAAACCAGCAAAGAAAATTCTACAAAACGCGTAAGTCAACTATTATTGTTTCGTTACTATTGTTGTTATTTTCACATTTTCACTAAGAAGTAGATACATTTATCATCTGAATCTTACAACTGCAGTATCCTATGCGAAGTGTAACTACTTTGTAGTGACATAAGATCTATGTGTAAAATGATTTCTTCGTATTTCTAAAGTATAATTTTTAAAAACTGTTTGCAATTATCTGTCTACTTTATTAGTCCATACTTTAAGCCCAAAAATTTTCTATAGTGGTTGATTTTTATTAATTTGCTTGAATATTAGTTTATTTTTAGTCTAGTATTGCAATGAATTGTAAAATATCTAGACTCATCTGTAAACCGTTTTAAATTTCTTGAATGACCCATAACGGACTTTCTACCTGCGTTATTTGTTGTATAATTAAACTAGTTTTCATGTAAAAACATACTGTGGTAAGCATCTTCCACACCGGTACATCTTGTTCTTCTGTGCACCCAGGTAGAAGTGATCAGCCCTAACACTAGTTCATCCACATAGAGAGTTCCTACTTAGGCCTCAGGTAATACTCATGATTAGTGACTGTAGATGATGAATGACATAACTCATAAGTAATGACAGGGAGAAAGTAGCACGCGTGCCCTATCTTCTTGGGTTTTTATTCTTTCATCTCATTTATTTTTTTCGGATTATATGTATGATTAAATTTAATTCATACCATCCTCATTTATCGTTATTCTGTGTTCCATTGCGCAACTACATAATTACTTAGTTTTAGCCTGACAGTCTTTTACTATTAGCATGATCGGAGTTCTAGAATAGTTGTAACATTTTACTCGTCCTTTTCAACTCTATTAGAATATTTACTGTACCATACTGATATGTTATTACATCAAATTCCAATCAACTTAACTTCTATAAATATGATAGACCTTATTTAAAATTTTAATTTCAGGTTGTAAGTTAAATAGGAAGCGAAATGAAGTAAAATGAGTTCGTGTTATTCCACTGCTCAAATTTGTGCTTTTATTCTTCTTAAATTGATTAAAAAAGACTGTATGAAACATTCTTGGTGGTTTCTTGTAGTTGTTAACTTGATAAACATATCCACAATAAATTAGATTTTATTTACGTGATTTCCAAGAATAAAATTAAACTACATTTGTTTATTGAGCATTATTGTTATCTTTGCTAGTTGTAGTATTGCAGAATAATTCAGTATGAAAGAATAAAGTTTGTTTCTAATAATTGGTATTGATTTAATTAGAGAATGAATTATTCTGGATTGAAACTTATAGTTGAGAGGTAGATAACTGACTGACTTCTACTTTAACTGTTCTCGGTTATTCTGTCTAGGGAAATATTACTTTGTTGGGCTATTTTACACCCCCAGGGAACAAGTTAGTAACTACTTATTTTATTACTTTTTAAGTTTCAATATTCCTTTCCTCTCCATCCTTTTTTGTCTACCATGACCAAATTGAGCTGTTTTCTTCTTTCCTTGAGTCTTTCAGTGTGTTAAATCTTTACCCTTTCTCCGATGTATTTGTAAGCTCATTTATACACATGTATTATTTGCTTAAACCAATCTTCTTTGATCTCTATCGATAAATCTTGCTTGAAGGATTTTCTTTTGCAGTAATTGGGGCTAGAACGGAAAACAGTTGTGGTATCGAGGTATTAACATGCATATAAAAGTTATTGTCGTATTTTCAAGACATTATATTTAAATTTTTTTTACATAACTACTTTAATACTCCCATAGAAACCCGTCTTTTTGTGTTATTTTAGACTGAATTCAAGAAGCAACAACCGTTTATATCTCCAACCTGTTTGCTTATTCAACCAAGAAACCTTAATTTGAGTCATCATCTATCTACATCATTACCATCTCCATTGTCAAAAGTTCACTTGTCTTCCGGAAGTTCACCATTTCGACAAATGACTGGTTGTTCAAGTTTAGAGTTAAGTGTTTCTTCCTATCGTCCAATGGCTGTTTCCTTTGAATCTTCTTTTATTGGAACTCAGTGTAATTCCTCAAGTAGTTGTACTGCCACAGTATCCACACGTACCAGTAATAGTAGTGGTGTTGTTGTTACTTCTGCTGGTACTTCAGTGGTAAATTCAACGGTACAAATTGATGTGCTTCTGGTTTATCAACTACCTCCGCCACCAAAACTACAGGCATTAGTGAGACAACGAATTCGTCAAGTAAGGAAATACTTCAGATATTTTTTGTTATGTTTAGTTCACTATATCCGTTTGAGTTCGAACACAAATTACCCTGCATATTATAACCATACTTAGTACCCTGTCGAGTGAATATTTATCATATGAAGTGGATATGTAGGAAAATGCTTATTTAGCTTTTAATAGTTTTTAAGTGAATAAACGAACTGACTATAATTCCTAATGCGAAATGCTGGTGTATGACTGATCTACCTTAACGTCTAGACTAATATTTGGGATTAAAATAATTGGAAGTCTTAATCATTCTACTTATCTTGTAAGGACCTCATTAACTTTAGTGAGCTGAGGTCTCATGAAATGTCGGCACGGATTTGGAAAGGTCATCAATATGGGTCACTGTAATGTAGGCGAGATATCCATCCACCAACGAAGGGGTCAGTATACTGCACAGTTGTCTGCTTTGTTTTAATTTATGTCAGAAACATGATCTTTAAATATAAAGGGCATTCATGAGCTATTATCATTTGATCATTATTGTCTTTGAGTCATTACGCGCGTATATTAGAGTCCAGTGAGGAATGTTGCAATTAGATTCAGGGTATTTGGCAAAGATATTAAATCAGTTGGTAATAATGCTAATCTTCATCGGCTGAAGTGATCGAGATATGTATGCCAAGTCAGTGCCTACCTTGACTCGGAATATTGGAGTAAGAGTAGGGAAGTGAAAGCTAAGGTCAACCAAACCAACACGTTTAGTTATATTGTGAATGCTATGTTGGTAGGTACAGAATTGCTCCTTGAGGTCCTCGCAATAAATGTGACTAGTGGTTGGAGACGTTGGGGTTGAGGTACCGAGAATCAAAATAACATTTGTAAGTAAATTCTCCAATTACATCCCATGGGGGATATCCAACTTCAAAATCAATGCGTAACAATTATGTATAAGGTATTGATAAATGATAATTAAAGTTCCATGATAAATTGAGTGTTTTTTTGTTGTTGATTTATTAGATATAAATTTATGAAGAGAATGGATTAATGCAAATCTGTCTGTCATGATATATTTTATAGTAGTAGTTGTAAATGAGAATCGTTGCTATCTCTTTATTAAACATGGACTCGTATATTCAATTTTAAATTACACTTTTAGCAGCGGTCAACAATACTGCCTAAATGCTGAAACTGAATTAGTTGAGCAGAGGTTCAAAATTACACTGTTTAATAGAGTTAAAAAGCACTAGGAATTTGCTTAGACAACAGGATCCATGGCGTCAATACATCTGTTTTCAATTGTTAACAGTTATGATTTACTGACATTAATTTTACATTTCACTTTTCATTTCAATTTTTTGGTCTAATATGTGATACTATTCGTAGAGCTTAGTGTTTTTTGAGGCATCAGTTTTCCAACTCGTTGGAAGCAAGTTTTAGCCTCGCTTCACATGCTTCAATGTGAGCAGTCAGATAGTTACACTAACTTCGTATGCACAAACATTTACTTGTTATGTAAACGGTGACGAAAAATGTTAACTAATTCCCAATGAATTTTCATCTGATCGGTTCATGAATATTACTTTCCTGTCAGCTTATTGGACTTTTGTGCAGTCGAGAGTTTCATTGCTTTCAGTTTCAATCATGATATATTGGTGTGCATGTGAATGTAGTATTTCTTTTATTTTTTTAGCTCTGCAAAGATGAATACCTTGAGCAGTTAGATCTTCCACGTAGAATTATTAGCTATTTACAATTTGAACCATCGTACAATTGTGCTGGCTCATGTATTTCTCGATCGAACAGTTCTACCAGAACAGTACGCAGTGATAGTTTTGACCTGTGATAAAGATTTATGGGCATATATTTATATTTATGTATCTAATTTATTTCTTACTATTTTGTTCAGTATTTTTATTTATAAGTAACATTTAATTCCTAATTGTCATCTTTAATTTACTGACATTTGAAAGCCTTTGATCTTTATTGTTAAAACTCTCATTCTATGTATATTGTGAACTATGTGTTGAAATTTACAGATTGACAATTTATATCCTGCAATTTTAATAGGTGAAATTTAGTAAATTCCAGTATTGATTTTCGTAATTTGACTTATCCAATTTCTTGATATTCATATTTATCCTTAGCATTTATCAATGAAAAAGGTACACGGTTTTTGTAGGATTGATTTTTCCATCAATAAATGGATGGTGCTCTAAACTTATTAAGAATACAACAAGAGAGTAAAAATTGTATTATTATTATTATTTATATGACTTGAAAGAAAGGATCTTTAGTGTTTTATACTAAGCTCCACGAAACAATAAACTAAAGTTTTTCATAAAGAATTTGTAATTTAACAGTTTGACATAATATAATTATTGGTTCTTCATATATATTCATCTGTATGTATGCAACACAATGATACTGTGCTACATCTTGTCGTGTAATTCTTTAATATGATTTCGTCACATTTTTGTGCTTTCCTTGTTGATCTAAACAAAAGCTTATGTTATGCAATAGCTTTGAAGAACTTCAGCAAAACAATCTGATGTATATCTATCTATTTACATATATATCTATCTATCTCTCTCTCCATATATATATGTCAGGTTTACTTATTTATTTATCTCTTTTAATCGGCTAAATCTTATTATTCGTTTTTTCTTTCTTATCATTTCATACTAGGCATTGTTCTCTTATTTACATTAAACATAATCAATTTCTCATAATGGTAACAATTAATTTATTACCTTTCTTTTTATGGTTAAATATTTGCTGCAATTATTGTATAAACATTGGTGTAACTGGTGATGTTCATCTTTCTTGATTCCCCCTCTGTCTCTATTTTTCTTGGCTTTTTCATTTGATGATGATTCCTTTGTTTGACACACACACACACACATACAACAAAAAAGCAAAACTGAATCTATATTTCATCTAAATGTACAGATATATACAAATGTCAAATTAATGATTTCCTTTTCATTTATTTTTCTATTATTTCATATTTATGAACTTTGACATTAATTTTTTTAAAATTATTATTATTATTATTATTATTATTATTATTATTATTACATAATCATTATTCTTTCTATAAACTAGACTATATTAGGTTAATATATAGATGTAAATTCATTGAACATAATAAAATTAAATTATGCTTTTTATGGTTATCAACTAGAATGAATTCATGTAGAACATTCAGTTTTTGTTAGGTTTCAGTTTAATTTAATCAGAGATAAATACATTATGTATTGTGGGTATAAGTATATTGAGTAATGTGTCTATAAGAGAATTTTGAAGAGAGAACAGTTAGAGAGAAACATGAGCTAACAATTCAAGAGATTAGTAACAATTAATATTATTACAAGCGTGTTAAGCGAATCTACAATTCAATAGAATAAGCTTTTCAATGCATTATATATGTGCATATTTTACCATGTAAAAAGTTTTAAAAGGGATCTAATATTTAGTAGTTGAGGATACTTACTGTTAGAGATTATTTGTATTGTGTTTTCTGATAGTTCTGAACTTAGTGAAGCAAAGGAGGGAGTAAATTTATTTACTATACATTCATTTTCTTCACTAATTAACTTTGTTATTATTATATGAATTAACTTTATCATCAAGAAATCATTTCCATTCCAGTCATGAAATACAATTCAAGTTTCCTTGTTTACTAGAGAGTTGAAAAGCACCGTTAAACTGTAACATATTATTAATAATACTTTAAAGAACAATCATAGAATTTACATTTTGCAATTAGTAAATATTTGTTACAACTAGCCTGTTAGTCTTCACCAACTTTCATTTTTACACATTAGATATAGATAATATGTAAGGCAAACTCAGCAACAAAAATCAAATGGTTTCAATGTTTCATTCAATAGTATGGTTTTTTCTTATTCAGGGAACAATTTAGTTTTAATGTTTTAAAATACTGCCGATCCTGTGTTCTCTGTTTTCGGTAGTTTAATTATGAAGTTTTCATTATCTTCCTGGTTAACATTACTAGCGTAAACTTCTCACTAGATGAACAACTCAATCTATAAAACATTATTTCAATCTCATGTGAATAGTTTTTAGATCAATAGGAGGTGTAAATTTTTCATTTCATTAAAATTTGATCAAATAATTTTGATCAGGTATACAATTAATAACCAAGTTTTTAACTAATCAGGGAACATTTAAAGATATGAGCACTAGACAGCTACTTTTTACGAATATTGGGACGTCCACCTACATCTTTTCTCCTAAACACTATTTGTGTCCCTTGGAACGACTGGGTGATAAGTGCTTAAATCAGGGACAGAGTACTGATTATGTATCACAAATCAATTGATGAGTGTGAGGTTGTTGGGATACGTCATACATGTCTCTAAACATTGCCTACCTCAGTAGGTGAATTCAAATGGTTTAGGAGAAATTTGAAAGAAATCTAGTGGTCACCAAACAAAAACATGGCATCAGTCCATAGAGTCAATGACTGTTGGTCCGTGGATAACCATTACTAGTTAGTGATGCTGTACGGTATGGTTTAGAATCAGTCAAAATGTTGCGGATCCATTTACTGCCTATCTTCCTGCAGACATTAGGTCCCAATATTTTTAATACATACCTTTTTACTCGATAATTTAAACTAGATTCTTAGTGTTCAACCAGTCTCATTGGTACTAAATTATCTCAAATCCTCTGCTACTTATCTTATTAATTTCATCTTGTTGTGATAAATTGGTGTTGCGACTCGGGCCAACGAACATATTTTCCAGATTCTACGTTGATTGTGACTGATTCCCATTCTTACAGGTATTACTGTCAGACCTTATAACAAATGTGTTATCTGTGAACCACTAGGTCAAAATCTTATAGTTCATATTTCCAAATCCAATGATTTCATGATATTAATCTATCATATCTTTTAATTTTCAATTTAATAGTCAATAATGGAGATAGAATGAACACACTAATGATTCCAATTGGTGATGACAAACATTTATCAAAAAAGTACAAGATGAAAATATGGGTTAATTTCAATAACATTTTCATTTACATGTGTTATCAATGTTAATTAATTACTTACTATTAGCCTATTAGCCCTCGTGGAGAAACATAAACCAACCACTAACATTCTCCATTCAACTCTGTCCTCAGCAATCCTTTACAGTTATTCCCAGCTACGATTCATCCTTTTCATGCCTGCTTACAATTCACAAATCAGTGTGGTTTTGACATTCCTCGTTTCCGTTTCCCTTCACGATTACAAGTTACGGCTTACCTCGTAGTGCAGTTTGATGATTTTCACAATGTATCTCCTATCCGCTTCCAACGTTCTTTCCTAATTTCCTCTTCAATGGCAATTTGGTTTGTTCTCTATCACAGTAGGTTTTTGATGATATTATCCATCCAACTCATCTGAAGTATTTTGTGTAGGCCATAATTTGTAAATACATGTACATTTTTTATTATGGTTGTAGTAGTTCTTTAAGTTTCAGCTCCGTATAACAACACTTTCTTGATGTTTGTATTGAAAATTCTGACTTTGTTGTTGGCTGACAGTTGTTTTGAGTTCCATGTGTTCTTTAGTTGTAGGAATGTTGCCATTGATTTGCCGATTCACGATTTCACATCTACATCAGATTCTCCTTGTTTATCGATGATACTGTCCATGTACGTAATTTCATAAACTATGGTAACTAATAATAAGCATAAAAGTGTTTTGTCTTCATTTTATCTGGTTCTATTTGGAACCATAAAAGCAGTGATTTTAATAGATGTTTTCAAAACTTTTTTAAATATACTTAAGAGATTATGCATATTGTAAACGAACCGCTTGCATGAATTTTAATGATTAGTCCTTATTAAAATGAACATTCTAGTCTGGAAGAAAATAACTGTCTATAAGCTATAATGAAAGAAACTAAATAATTGATCTCTTCATCTGTAACATTTGGTATAACTGAGTGATGGCCAGTTATAAATCCAAACTATTGAAGTAAAACGCTCTACCTGAACGAAAGTTGAACAATAAAAATAGCTTGTCAATATATCGTGAATAATTTTATATTATGAAATTGTATAATTACATGCAAAATCTTTTACAGTAAATAAGTATGATTAAAATTTATTTAAAACGTCAATGAATGTTAGACGTTGATCAATGAAGTTCTTCACAAACCTATAAAATTAAGGCTTAATTATTTGGTCTACTTATTGTTTAAGAGATTTGATGTCTTGTCATTGTTAATTTGATCTATAGATGTTGATTTAGTGCTGATCGAGCTTTCACTCACCGAAAAATGTATAATTAAATGTTAATCCCCCAAATGCCCTGGTATGGCCGAGAGTGGGGAGACTCAACTCTTCCTATCCAAATCCTCTCACATGGCCACGCATATACAACTACTGTCAGCGAAAGTCTTACTCAATGCCTTTTCGACACTGCGGTGGTGTTGTTTACGAAATTGAGAGGACGAAAAGCGAATGTCCGATGCTCTAACCGGGTTGATGGACACGGAGAGTCCACACAGGGAAGTTGGAAAACACTGATTCCAAACCATGGGAGCACATGGGCTCCAGTATCCTGAAGGAATAAATGGCGCATGAACCAGTTGTTGGTCATCGACTACCATGATACTGCATCTCCTGACGTTGCTCCACTCACTGCCTTGTAGATCAGACAATTAGGTCGAAAGCTCTAGGTGCGACCCCTTAATAAAAAGGCCTGCTTCTGTTTGGGCACCCGAGCAGTATCGCAGCCCTCACACAAATGGAATGATTTATATGGCGCATATCTATTTAGTGCTTCCTTATACCAATGTTTATGTGTTTAAATAAATAAGCAAATAAATAAATAATATTTCTTAACAATATACAAGCATCCGGAAAACAAGATAATGTCTTTTTATTGAAGGTGGATAGGGTCTATCAATCATATCCTGAACAAGCGTTTTTGGATTCAATAGCTTGGTAGATTACGCGTTCACATTTAAAACAGAAGGTGCTATATTGAAACTTCAGTGCACTGGGGTGCAATTGCATACAGCTAAGGAATCCGAAATAGGATGAACGCGTGTCCTGCATTCCATTGTTAGCCAATGACGTCAATAAAAATCTTTCGACTAAATAAAAATATCAAGACAATCTGCATAGTGTGTATATATATTTACAGAGACTGGTCATTTGCAATACATAAGTACATAAGAAATTCCCTGCAAAGTAATCATTTTTGGGACCTATATGTATAACTTAGTCAAGGTACTCAACGTTAATAACACTCAGTTCTGAGAAGTGAAGACTGAAATGATTTTTCAATATATGAAGTTAAAAAACATTTACATTACTATTAGAAGCAAAGCAGATTACACAAGCACTCTAATGGTTGCTGTTAACCAACACTATAAACGAAAGATAGCTTCCATTAGTTTGTAACCGAACCCCATCCCGCGAAAAACATACACTAACTACCAGTTATTTGTAAATTGTTCTGAGTACTAACATAGGTACTTTTTAATGTGTAACAACTGATCGAATCAACCTGATCATCATAAAATGATCTTCGAGTTATGATAGATGAAGCGTATTTTACATAAGATTGTATTATGTTTTGTGTTCTTCAGTAATGGTATCCCGACAATTAAATAAGGAGGGCATTTGTTACTACGACATATACAGTTAGTATCGTGTGATCATTGACGATCATGGCTAGCTATATATAATGTAGTACGGATCAATGACTCAGAAAAATGGGGTATCCTGAAATCACAAACAGGGAGATTTGACACGTAAGATGAAAAATCTATATTTGATTGTTAAAGTCTGACTTATTGAACCAATTGTAATAAACCTGTAAGGTAGACATGGGGTTTTAAAATGCAGTCTTTTGAGGAAGTGAAGTTTAGTGGCCCGATGTCTGATATATATATATATATATATATATATATATATATATATATATATATATATATATATATATATATATATATATATATATATATAAAATTATCGACTCGACTTGCGTTAGTGAATAACGGAATTAAAATAAGTCAAATACGGGAAAGGATTTCGAACAAGTATATTTTGTAGTCGTTGATACAGGAAGACGATACAAAAAAAACGAAGTGAGACGAAACAATACGCGGTGAAGAAGGCATGTGAGCCAACTTGATTTAATCAAGTGTAAATCAATATTTATGGTCGTAAAAATAGGTAACAGACATGTGATGAGTAAGATAAGAAGTGCACACACATACGCTCATATAAAAACAGTCAAGGTTGATAAGTGAATAATTAACAAGGTCAAAACGTGACTCAAGATGAATGGATAGATTGGCCTCTCCAGAAGCTAGAATACGATACATGTGCTTAACATGGTAATTGACATTACAGAAGACAAACATTGCTGAGTTTTCTTTAATCTATCTTGAAGTAGTTACTTATGATTCACTTGTTTCTATAAGATCATCAGACAAAATCAGTTTGTACTTTAAAATGCTTCTTCAAACTAACCAAAACTAATTGAATGTATTCATAGAATAATTCTTATAAACTGCGGATGAAACACATTAAGTTTTCAGTATGAAAGATTGAAAATTCACTACTCTTTCATTCTTTTCTACTTTATAGTGATTTATTTAGTTATTTTAATTAAATCTATATCTTAAAATGCGCCAGAAGAGAAGGAATGGAAAGTAAATTCAATACTGTTTGAAAGATATTTCCTTTCATATTTACTTACTTACGCCTGTTACTCCTCGTGGAGGAGCATATGCCACGCACCAGCACTAGCCATCCAACCCTATCCTGGGCAATCCTTTCCAGTTGTTATTCATCCTTTTCATATCTACTTCTATTTCGTGACGAAATGTGTTCTGTGACATTCCTCTTCTCCATTTCCCTTCACGATTCAAAGTTAGGGCTTACCTCGTGATGCAATTTGATGATTTGTGTAATGTATGTCCTATCCATTTCCATCATCTTTTCCTAATTTCCTCTTCAGTTGGAAGCTGGTTTGTTCTCTCCCTCTTTTATATTTGACCTACAAATAAAGAGAAGTCAATAATTAAAATTAAAATTGAACGGTGATCAATACAAACTGTACTAAGGAAGAAAATGAATAAAAAATATGATAACATCAATTAATAAATCGAATTAAATAATTCCATTAGTGAATAAATAATTAATACTTTTTGATCATGTGTACAGTCAATAACAACACAGTGATTGATCTGGATGCCAAATAGATTAGACTATACACTTTAAAAGGTATCTTCTGTGAATTGTTATACTTTTGTGATAGTATTAATGAGGTGTTTCGTTAGTGGATCAGAGGTAGGTTTTTATCGAAAAACCTTGATAACTAAGTAGTTTTTTGAGTCCTAATTAACATTTTTAAAAATCCTAACCATCAGCTTATTTCAATCAAATTCGATCAATATGAGGTAGGTGGCATCTGTGAAGATTGTTTAATGTTACTGAGATCACGGATCTACCTAAGTTAGATAACCATTAAAGAAAAGGTAGTTGATCAGATTGATTATAGAATAAACAATTTCCTTATCTATCTTTCTTCGAATCTATTTATAATGAATATGTTTTACCATTCCATTTGTTTTGTCTTTTATTTTCTTTCTTTCTTCTTTTTTCTTCTTTTCTTTGTCTGAATTATTTCAATTTCATACCTATTTTTTTCTCTTTTTCTCTTTGTCTGTTTTGTCTCTCTTACTCCCTCCCTCCCTTCTTCCCTCTCTCTCTATTTCTTTCGCTCTAGTGATAACACCATGTACACAGATTCATTTATATCCAACACATGTCTATCTAACTATTTATCATTTTGTCTATCCATTTGTATCTATGGCTTTGTTAATCATGACAAAAAAAAGAAAGAAGAAAATAATTCAAAGCGTCGTTTATTCTGTTTCTAGGTTAATTAGTTTTAAATTTTTTTATTTTTATTTTTAAA